GATATCACCCCAGACAGGCTATCAGCATGGCTTGTTTTAATACTGTACCGCTATGAAATAAATGCGGACATACTTTAGTGCATTGTGCTGTATGTTTTGATTCTGATTYTACAAAAAGCATTACTGTAGAATGTTAACCAAATGAATAAAAGAATCACAGATTTTGCAGCAATAACTTTACAGTATTTTCATTAAGATCTAAACTGTAACCTATTTGTCCTGGCCATAATACGGGRTTAAAAAGTATGGAAGTTTGTCAATYGGGCCACAAAAAAGTGGCCGTTGGCCGTATTAAGCAGTACATTTTATAMAGTAAATGTATGGCCATTTCGTCGGGACCCAAAAGAGCTGACCGCAATAACGGGGTGGCCATATAAAGCGGATGGCCATAAGGCGGGGTTTTACTGTAAAATAAATAAAAAACTTTTAATAGCAATAATTATTATTGGATGAGGTTAAGCATGATGTCGTAAATTATCAAGACCAAGGCTGTGTTACTTGCAATAGCCATAGTCTGAGGCAGATAACACAGACCTGAGGTCGTGATAATTTAAGATATCATGCAAAAACCAAATTGTTTTATTATACATTTTATTGGTTGAGAAACTACCAAGCTAGAGAAAACAAGATGCATATGTTGACTCAAGTGGCAAAGCTACCATGCTCGGTGACCTTGAGTGAACTTGACAAAGATAAATTTATTTGCAAATTTATTACCAAGGCCTGATCATGTTAAAACTAATTCACCAGTCAACATAATTGGTAACTGACCAGCCTTACGTATGTATGTATGTATATAATGTATGTGTGTGTGTGTATGTCAAATTCATTAATAATTCAKGAGGAAAACTCGACAGAAATCACAACCATGAAGAGTGTAGTAAATCTGATACAAGATTGTGTTCATTTGCATAAACATTAAGTTTGATTTCCTTGGCCAGATTCAYTTTAATTTTGAAAATTTTAGTGAAACACAAAGGAACTAACCTAGACTTTTGACAAGCAATCTACTGTACAGTATTCGTGTCCATGTTGTGTCCGATATACAAACGCTCGGCTACGCCTCAAGTTTGTATATCTGATACAACACTGCCACTCGTACTGTATATATATATATATATATACACTTAATTGCAGAAAGGTTGTAGTATACATTTATTCAAATATCTAATGAGATGCAAGATATCTTTAGCTTTAGTATTTTTTGTGAGTTGTCATCCTTTGAGCTCAAGCAGTRAACAAAAAATTGAATTATAAGGAGTGCATCGTTAAATCTACACTACCTCTCACAGCTGTTGTCCTGGATTCATACCTTGGACATGTCATGTAGTGCTTGAATTTTCTGTGAATTATCTTATTGTTTTTCTTCTTTATTCAGTTAATTCTGAGGCCAATTTGAGGCGCATCAGAGGCGTTGAGGCCTGCTTTGGTAGTTCAGGCCAAGTAAGTTCTAAAATAGCAAAGCAATATTGGTGATGACGTAAATTTATATCTACTGTACGTAACTAACTACCTTAACTGATTTTATTAATGTTACCTACCATCATTGCTTTCAGCCTTTGGTAGTTCCATCAAGAGTTCTTGTTGGTGAAGGTGTATTGACAAAATTATGCCGTAAGAAGCCTAAACCAAGACAGGTACATTTATTTTGCTATTACTGCAGTTTTCGATATTCTGCTAACTCGGTAGTTACAAGCTGCACTCTGCAATTTGGTTTTTCACTGCCGTCAATCAAAGATAATCAGTCAGTACCTTTTATGTCCTTGACTGGCAGCAGCAGCAAAAAAAAAAAAAAAAAATTTCACAACAAGCTGTTAAAATATCTGAGTTTGCAAAATATTGAAAACTGCAGTAAAACCATTTATTATTCATGGGAGGGTGGGCATGAGTATTTTAGTAGGAGCTGTTAAGAAGTGGTGAGAAACTTTTTATGTTTCTCAAATTCCCTGTTTGTGAAGCTGAAATTTAGTAATCCCAAGCCCCTTTCAATCACCCACTTCTTTAGCTCTGGACTCCTGTGAAAGTAAGACTACAGTGGCACTACCTCTATTAAATGAACAGGTTTGGGACCTTGCCTGGTGTCTGTTAGAAGGTGTCCCCTGAATAGAAGTTTTTTGTAGATTAAATATTGAAGGAAAATTGTAAGACCATGTAATTACAGTAGGTGCCTATTTAGTGAAGGGAGTCCACTTATTAATAAGGGGTCTGTTTTAAGCAAAGGTTCCATGAAAACATATTTCAGCCTACTCCCTTATTACTCTTTTCCACCATCCCTCAATAAATAAAGAGTTTACTTACTTACTTACATTGTTTCCAATCTTTAGTTCTTCCTTTTTAATGACATTCTAGTGTATGGAAATATTGTAATCAACAAGAAAAAGGTATGTGTGCATTATGAAATGGGGTTATAAAAGGTTTATGTAACCCTGTGAAAAACCCCTTAAATCAAGGAAGAGACCCATTCAACTTTGCATGCAAGTATAGGAATAGAACCTGGGACCCTGGCATGCATGTGCACTGTCATGCACTCCTAATGCAAAACTAATAGAGTGGTTACCTTGGAAAAATGTTGGAGCTACACTGTACAAGTACAATATGATACAATACAATAATATGAGTTTATTTTGCTCACAATTTTGTATTACAAGATTTGTTAAAAAAAAAAAAAGGGAAAAAGTAATAGATATAAGAAGTATAATAGATAAATTATTGGAAGGTAGCTAGGAATTTGTTCTCAAAAGTTAAATGCCATATTCATAGTCATTTGCTTGCCAATATTTGCACGYACTCATGATTTGTATAAATTTTGTATTAGAAGTTAATTAAGTAAATCATGACAAAGCTTGGGTCATGTGATGTTCAAGTGTAAACTAAGTATAGTAGGACCTAGAGGGGTATGCTTTTACCCCAACACTCTTTACCAGGTAATTGTTCTTTTAAGGGGAGTCAGGATGGCATGGTGGTTTAAACACTCACTTGGCTCTCAMCTCGGAGGTCCTGGGTCCAAATCTCAGTTCAAATCCCAGTCTCCCCACGTGAGCTGAGTAGGTTGATTCTCTTTCTAACTCTCCGGTTTTTTTGGTCCGGTTTTTCCTCCCTCCTCTCAAAATCAACCCTAGCTAATTAAAACTGGTTAGAGCTGCGCTCTGAGGTCATACATGGATTGTATAGCAGCTGCCAGAGCTAGGTGACTTCACATGCTTTTAGTTCAACCCCATTGAGAGATGACGATATTTTTAGCAGTATTATCTTATAATATGTTCTATCTATACTTTATTTTATCAGTACAATAAACAACATCTTATTCCCCTGGAACAAGTCAAGCTATTGTCACTGGAGGATGATGGAAGTATGTCATTGGATTGTAACATATAATATGGGCATAGTATACCACATGGCACAGTATGATTAGTTTATCATCATATTGTGTACAATATGCATATTAGAGCAGGTTTTGTGTGATTGTAACATATAGTATGGGCATGGTATACTGCGTGGCACAGTATGATTAGATTATCATCATATTGTGTACAATATGCATATTAGAGCAGGTTTTGTGTGATTGTAACATATCATATGGGCATGGTATACTGCATGGCACAGTATGATTAGATTATCATCATATTGTGTACAATATGCATATTAGAGCAGGTTTTGTGTGATTGTAGCATATGATATGGGCATGGTATACTAATTACAATTTTATTAATCAAGACTATGCCATGGCTTTGAGTTTTGCTGTGAAAAAGGGACAACTAAACTAGTGTCTYTAATATGTGTGGATGTCCATTTCTATAATATACCAGCTCCTATGATAAAATTTCAAGGGCTATTAAAATGATGCAGCTCATACACCTGTATTTAGTCAGGCGAAGTTTCTAGATTTTGYTTTTATTCCCCCTTATGATAACTTCCTTTCATCAATCCCTCTGCCTTTCTTCTATTCTCTCTATTTATCTATTTTTCTTTTTGTATATCTCTCTTTTTTYCCTGTCTCTTTCATCAATTGTAAATTGAGTATTTCCTTTGTTAATGAACTTCATGAACTCACTGGCTGATTGAATGCTAATGTTTTATTGTGTCTAGGTTTAAAGAATGGCTGGCAGATAATTAGTACCAAGAAGTCGTTTGCTGTCTATGCAGCTACAGCTACAGAAAAAGCAGAATGGATGGCTCATATAAACAAATGCATCCAAGACCTATTTGCCAAGAGTGAGTGTTACCTGCCTCAATGAATGAACTTTGCATCTTTGTTTTATATATTGAGTTAGGATGAGTTGAAATACAGTTATCTGTCATCCAAAAACCATACACACAACAAACCTTTTGAGATTAGGCATAAAGTTTACCCATGTTCAGACCATGTGTCATTCTCTTGAGAATAAGATTCTTGGTTTGAGTTGTATCCATATTCATGTGTCTTATGAAGAATTGTTAAACAAAGAAATGATACTCTGGAGATTGAAAGACACATGGTCTGAAATGGGTAAATGAGCTATGCCAAATCTAATTTGGTCTATTTTGCGATTTGCACCTGTCTTCATTAAAGGTTCATGCTACTTTTTAAACTTCTTGAAAACTCCTTAAATTTGATGAATATTTTCAAAGGCAATAAGCCTGAAGCGAGATGACATTTACCCCCGTCTCTAGTACATAATCCTTTTCACACTGCTTTTGTTCTTTAATTATGACTATATTGTTCCTGTATTCTCTAAGGAATCAAAAATTTTAATATGAAAGAATTTTAAAAACTATTATGGTATAGAGTCGGGGGTAAAATGTCATCTCCCTTCAGGCTTATTGAAAATCTCTTGAATTTTAAGATTTTAGCAAAACTCCTTGACAACTCTGAAATAGACCTACATGTAGCCATCCGAAAATGCACGATATGTTTCCATATCCATCGACCTACAGCTATACACAAGATACAGTGTCAACCAGGAGTTACTTCCCTTGTGCAACCACCGTGTAAAACCATGGCATAGTTAGCTAAACATACTCCTTGAAAAATTATTTTTGGGTTCTTGAATACTCCTTTTTTTTATGTGGGTACCTCAGCACGAACCCTGTTCATTAGTTAACATCTCTTTTTTTTTAGCTGGCAAAAAGGCATCTGATAACCATGCAGCAGTGTGGGTTCCTGACAGCGAGGCATCAACATGTATGCATTGTATGAAGAGCAAGTTCACTGCACTGAATCGTAGGGTGAGTATACTCTGGACACTATATTTCAACCTCTAAGGAAACTAGGAAATTCGCCTTTCTGAGGATCAAAGAAATACTCACATTGACCACGTACAGCATGGGATCCATGGTGGGACAAAGGTTTCAAGGCTTTTTTGAAATTGTCCCAATATTCTGCAGGAAATTCAGGAGAATGGGAGGAATGGGTTGCACATCTAATGGGACTGAATTTTTTTTTTTAATTATTGTGACAGCAAGAGTGTCCCAAAATGTTTTCATTTTTATTGGAGACATTTCTGCAGGAAATTCAGGAGAATGGGAGGAATGGGTTGCACATCTAATGGGACTGAAATTTTTTTTTTAATTATTGTGACAGCAAGAGTGTCCCAAAATGTTTTCATTTTTATTGGAGACATTTCTGCAGGAAATTCAGGAGAATGGGAGGAATGGGTTGCACATCTAATGGGACTGAATTTTTTTTTTTTAATTATTGTGACAGCAAAAGTGTCCCAAAATGTTTTCATTTTTATTGGAGACATTGTTATTTAGTAATCTTCTCATGTCGGTCTCACTGTACTCATGTATGAGTATGGTAGCAGACATAGCAGAGCTATTGAAAAGATCAAAACAGTGTGATGAAAGGGTGGGAGTGTGGGAAGTAGGGGAAGAAGAAAAAAAAAAGGAAAAAAGAAAGAGCAACTTCAGGTATAGTGAGGTCAGAATACTTTGGCCTTTGCAGGTTTGAAGCTGATTTGTTCTGACTCATACATTTCTATCTGCAGTGAAACTGCTGAGAATAGAATGATACCATTTACTTGTGAGCCAAAATTAAAGTATTGCATTATTGTTAACATTATTGCAAGCATTGATAATGACATTTAGTTTTTCTTTTTTGATAAGCATCATTGTCGAAAATGTGGTGCAGTGGTATGCGGTGCATGTTCTGCCAAGAGGCTCAGCCTACCAGCCCAGTCATCCAAACCACTGAGGGTATGCAACACTTGCTATCAGGCTGTAATGTCAAAGGCAAAGAATCCAGACAGTAAGAAGACAGATGGTATGTTTTGAAAAATTTGGTGGGGGGG